ACTTGCCAGGTAGAAGTTATGCACCCACCATGTACAAATTAGTTATAATAATTGGGTAAAATGTTTGGATTTTGTATTATTTCGAAAATATTTTTCTTAAAAAAATACAAATATAAGTTTTTTCCCCATTAGAATGGTTTCTTTTTAAAATAAATTTGTTAATTTGTAATCATATTTTCATAATTGATAATAAATTTGATATTTTTTAAATTTTTAGGAATTTTAAAATATTATCATATAAATAAATATTCACCTTTTTATTATTAGTTGACCTAATTAATTTAATGATAATTTCTAATTTAATTACAAGATAATATTTTTAAATTAAAGCAATTTATATGAAAAGGATTTGGTTGGGAGAACAATTAAAACTTAGGGCGAACATGAAGAATTATGCTATGTGGCAAAGGGTAGAAAGCGAGGGGATCCCTTTTGCAATTATTTTAAGGTATTAATATTTCTTATTTTTGTAAGAAATAATTTTATTTTTTACTTATACATAAAAATATATATGAGATTTATATTTTATTTTTTTCTCTTTTTTTTTCACAGTTTCAGCTCCACGTACTTTTATGTGTAACAGAGATAAAATTATCTTATATAACATAAGAAACATTAATATCTTGTTTTAAATATAGATTATAATTTCTTACTTTCTCACATTTTTCTCTCCCTCCGACACATGGTAGAATCTTGACCATGCCTACTAAATTTCACTTATTATTCCAACTCAATTCTTTTCACATGAATTGCATTAATTTAACAATACTAATTTATAATAAAATTGAAAATTTAATAAATAAATTAAATAAAATAATATTAAAAAAATGATTCACATTTATATATTGATATTTTGAAAACTCTAAAATTTAAAAATATTAAATTTGTTATCAATAATAATAATAATAATATAATTATCGACTTTTTTCCTTTTCCCCAAAAAATAAATTGATTTGATTTTTTTAGACAAATAAAAAAGTTAATAACTAAATTATCATCATTGCTAATAAAATTCATATTTTTTTATTTTTTGAAATTAATAAATAAGAATTATTCATTATTTTAAATATTATTTAATTTAAAAATGCAATGTCAATTTAAAATTTAATACAAATTTAATTTAATCCTCGGTTTACATTTATTCGAATAAATTAGATATTTATTCGAGCAAATATGATCTTAAGATAGAATGGGCAAACCAAATTATATATTATACATGCGTTAATCTAATCTCATGTTGCATAAAAGAAGATCTCTCATGTTGTAGGAAGAAATATGTAGTGATCTCGACACACATGTGTCGGGAAGAGAGAGGGAGAGAGAAAAAGAGAGGAGAGAGGAGAGAGTAGAGAGAAAAGGAAAGAAGGGGGATAATTGAATATTTTTTTCCATGTTGTTGACACATATATGGTGGAGTCCATCATTTAGAAAAAAATAAAATAAAAATAAAAAAGGGTGTCACAATTTTTAATGAGTCTATTGGAGATAAAACTACTCTTATATTGCATAATAATAATTTTTCGCTTATACATTACATCTAAAGCTTATGAACTACGGAAGTTTTAGTATCTTATCCTATTTTAATGATCTATTAAAAAAAATAACTAGCAAGTATTTTGTACGATAACTTAAAATTCATATAAAGTTTTAAAAATTTAAATTATAAAAATAACATAATTAGTTGAAAATAATTTAAATTTAAAATTTAAGTAAAAGAAGTTAAGAACGAAACGTGTTATTCTTTAAGAAAAAAATATGAAAAAATTGAATACCTCTCAAATATTCTAATTTAATATATAAGAGTAACTGTTGAATTTGAGGAGACAAAAATTTTAATGTAAAAATAAAAAAACTTAAAATAAGTTAATCTGAGAATATAAGTTGAAATTTAGGGAGAAGAAATAAATTTTAACTTAAAAAATGGAAAGTAATTAATAATTCAATTTTTTAATATAATAAGAATATTAAACAACAATGAAACCACACATTTTAAAGAGTATAATATGAAATTATCTTATCCTATTTCCTTATAGAAGAGTTGATTTATAACTAGTTATAATTTATAACTATCTACGTATTAATTATAATATTTTTTTAAAAAAGAATAATTAATACTAATATTTTTTATATGCAAATTTTTTATATTGAATAAACTATTTCTCATATTAACCAAATGGTGGTAGCTCAGTTGACGCATGATAGCTAAGCAGGTGGGGGTGAGAGCATGTTTTCGAATCTTCTCAGTACCACCTTTGGGAGGGGTTTAAAGCCTTAATCCTGGACCCGTCCCGAATCGGATTAGTTGCGAAGCAATGAACCGATTGAAATATTTCAAAAAAAAAAACTATTTCTCATATTAAAGGTTTAATATAAAATTTTAAATTTCAGATAATTGAGTGTAGAAGATGAATCCCAATTTTGTCTTCAATTGCAATATTTTAAGATTAAAAATTATGAAAGAAAGACATAAAATAATATTCCATAATCGATTTTTTTTTTCAGGATAAAAAAAATCAATTTGATAAAATCTTACATAATACTTAAATTCTTTAATGCAAAAATTTTTAAAAAGATTTTTTCAAATCACAATAACTAAAAAGTTATATTCAGCGTGATACAATTTAGAAATTTTCTCTGTAATAATTAGTTATGAAAGACAAATATTCCATTTTATTTTTGAAAAAAATATATAAATTTTTTCAAATCATGACAACATTGAAAACAAGGCTGAAATTTAGAGTTTTTTTAATCGATTCTAAGATAAAAGTTTATGAAATAGTATTATGAGTTCTTCTTTGCATTCAAGAATCAGGAAAATTTGGCTATCATGATTTGAACAAATGCATTATTTCCTCCTCTTAGGCTATTTTATATGATTTTTCTCATTGATTAAAAATTTGTGAGGTAACTTTAAAATTGTTCTTTTGTGATTTTAATTGAATTTTAGTAATTATCTGAAATAATAGCAGAAAAATTATTGACTGATAATTGAGAAGTTATACTTTGAAGCTTAGAGCTAACCAGAGTTGTATATAATAATTATTATTAGAATTTAGAGCATAACAATTATCGATTGATAATTGAGGGACTTGAATCTAGGGATTTATATTTGGGTGGATTTATCTCAAAAATAAAATAGATTTTACATTATATTTGAGATTGTTTAGCTCTTATTACATTGGATTGTGTTTTTTTTTTTTTTTTGGTATCCTCATTGGATTGTGTTTTAATCATTTATATAAAGATATCCAATTGGGATTTATGATTTGTTTTTCTATTGAACCAATGAATTTTTCCGCATCAAAATCCTTAGTGAGTTAGTGTTAGTTAATTTTTTTGGGTAACATCTTTTTTTCTTTTTTTTGGTAACATCTGAGTGTTAGTTATTTTGTTGCTACTTTTCTTTTGAAAGTTGAAAATTTCAATTAAACTCTATTGAGTTTATCTCGGTATTAATTAACATAAATGATGAAAAAAATGAATGTTGGAATTTCTTATTACTACACGTGTAGTCGGTTAACTGATCAGTTGATAATTAATTTAGTTAATTGATTATTAATTAAATAGATTATTTTTTGATTAGTTTGTTTCTCTAATCTAGATAAGCGACTCATTGACTTTTGTATCAAATGTCTTTTATATTTTATAATAAATTTCAGTTTTTCTAGCCTCTTTTATCTACATATCCTGTGTAGGTCAGTAGTTTTTGCCTTGTTTCTTGACGTGTCTAGTCAAATTAATTTGCCCATGTCAATGTACCAAATAAATAAAAAATAAAAAATTTGCCCATGTCAAACGTTGCATCATCACTGTCCCTTACAGAATTATTCCAAATGAAGAAACTTTACCACAAAAACCAAACCTTAATTAGTAAAGCTCAACGCTTGACAATTTCTAGTTAATTACATTACATGCGTTCCTTTTTGCTAAGACTAGTATCTACGTTCTTCTTCCAAAAACGAAAATCCCCAACTTCAACCACAAACCAGTCATTGTGAAACCCCTTTTTTAGATGAGCTAAGAAATCCTTTGAAAGCAACACAAGTTGATATATTTGACCCAACCATAATAAACCTTTGAACTCGGGTTCCCCCTCATGATGTTAAAATTTAAATTTATTGCAGAATTTAATAATTAAAATTTCCAATGCAACAATAAAAATCCCTGTCTAGTCTCTTCTCAAAATTTAATTCAATAGGAGTTTTTGATCAATGGTGTGGTCCCCACCTGAAATTGACACCCTTGGATCTCACTGGTTTCAGTGTCAAACCTCATTAAATAACTCACTCATCCGGGGTGGTCCCATCCCCATTTTCACCATGCAGAACTCCAATGCAGTGCAAACCCGTTGATCAAAACATGGGGTCCACTCTCCATTAATAGACGGCTGTGATCTATTTGACCCTCCATTCTTGATTCCTGCCCTTCAAAACGCTTCTCTTCTCTTTGAAGTCAATATTTCCCTCACTCACTCTCTCACTCCAAAGGTGAAAATGCAAAAATCAATAACGTCCAACACGGGGCGTGCCATACACTCTCTGACAACCAAGAGAGAGTAAGGAACCACGAAGCGCGTGGTGACAGGGTTGAAAGAAAAAAAAGGTTTGACTTTGGGTGAAGGGCTGTGTGGGAAACGAATGGAATGGCCATTAAGGAAGCGCCACGTGGAAGTAACAGCCGACGTAGTAAGTGGCGCTGATCGGTTTCTGTGGACCTGCATTTACTTGGCAGTAAATTATTAAATTAACCGATTTATTACAACACGCAGTGTTGTGAATATGACCATTATATGAGAGAAGAACAGAGAAAGAAACTAGGATAAGGTAAAGAAGTGTTGTGTGAACTAAGATCATATCCATCACAAACCAGTTTCAGACATCCTCATGGTATTTTCTTTTTTATTTTATTTTTATTTTTTCTGATCATGTTAAAAAAAAAAATCTCTGAAAGATTTTGGACGTTGATCTGTCTGAGATTTTGGGTGTGGTTGTCCAAGAAGGAATCTTTTTACAATGAGAATGTTTTGATGGATATTTTAAGATTTTATTGTTTGGATTCTGATATGGGAAAGTTTTGACAGGTTGTGCTGAACTGAAGCAAGGGTCTCTCTGAGCACATAAAAACAAAGTCTTAAGCAGAGAAGCGAAGTGTGTTTTATAAAAAGCAAAGGAAGAAGAATGTATGGGAATTGTCAAGTTATGTCAACTATCGGAGGAAACGTAGTGGTAAACTCAGATAACATCTTCTCCTCGTCGATTCAGAACCCTAACTTCAACTTCTTGCCCACCATGCCTTTTCAACCTTTTCCTTCCATGGTATATATATATTAACCCTACCCTTTTTTTTTTCCGTGACTTTGTGTTGTTAATATTAACTCTCTTTCTTCTTGATTTGATGATTTTCTTCCTATATATATATATATGATTTTTAAACAGAAAGAAGAAGATGGGATGTTGCGAGGGAAGGAAGAGATAGAGAGTGGTTCTGGTAGTGAACAAGTTGAAGACAAGTCTGGGAATGAGCTAGAGAGTGAACAGCCTTCAAAGAAGAAACGTTATCACAGGCACACTGCTCGTCAGATCCAAGAGATGGAAGGGTAAGCATTTAGATCTCTCTCTCTATCTCTCTATCTTTTTCTTTTTTCTTTTTATTTTTCCATTAAAGGTTTTAATTAATTTGGTGTTTGCATGTGTAACTTTGGTGGCAGATTGTTCAAGGAATGTCCACACCCGGACGATAAGCAGAGGCTGAAGCTGAGTCATGAACTTGGACTGAAACCGCGTCAGGTTAAGTTCTGGTTTCAGAATCGCCGAACTCAGATGAAGGTACGTTGAGCGAGTTAATTAGCACGCTTTTCCAGCTTCCATTAAGACCTTTAACTTTGACGTTATAAGAAACCCTAAACTGGTATATGCTCTTAATTCCAGCTATTAAATTGAAACGTCTCTCACACATAGGCACGTTTCCCAATGAAACCGCGTTCATTGGTTTGCATTAAAACTTCTTTTCCTATGCCCTAATAAACAGCTACACAGTGATGGCTAGAATAGAAAAAAAGAAAAGAAAAAGAAGAAACAGAAGACTCCTCTCATTTACTTATGGTTCTTGGTTTGTCCATCATACAGTCTGTATTCCATTAATGTACGCATTAAACCCTACCTGTCACATGTGGTCTCAAAACGGTACTCATATTTATTGCTATATATCATTACAGTGTTATGGTTAGAATGAAGGTGGGTCTTCCTTCTCCATAAACTTTCAAAGCATTTATACTATAAGGCTTTTGAGAATTATATAAACGATCCTAGTCCCTACTATTCATACAATATTACGAAACATACGGAAGATTTTTTTTTAGTATTGCGGTAATCATGCATTTTATTTTATTTTATTTATTAATTTTGGATTATAGGCACAACAAGATCGTTCAGATAATGTGATACTTAGAGCAGAGAATGAGACTCTAAAGAATGAGAACTATCGGTTACAAGCTGCACTACGTAGTATTATCTGTCCCAATTGTGGTGGGCCATGCATAATGGGTGCTGATCTGGGCTTGGATGAACAACAGCTTAGACTTGAAAATGCTCGGTTACGAGAAGAGGTATGCATGCTATTATTATAATTGAAACACTGTTTGATACTATTAACATTACGTGAATTAATGTGAATATAAAGTAAATAAAAATCACTCTTTATTATGTTAATCTATGTATAGTCTTATCCTATCAAGTACCAACACTTCAAAAAAGAAGAAAAAAAAGACATGTCTTGTCCAACACTCCGACACTCGTTGCTAAGATTAAAAAAAATATTTTTTAGGATTAACGTGTCGAAATATCGTCACGTGTCCAAACAATGGGAAATATTTTTCTGTGCAAGATAGATCTTATACTTACCTATTTATAAATTATAATCCCTTTGTTAATGTATGAATGTAATTTTCACAATGTGAATGTTTTGCAGCTAGAACGAGTGTGTTGTATCACATCAAGATACGCTGGTCGTCCAATCCAAACAATGGGAGCAGCTCAAGCTCTTATGGCTCCTCCTTCATTGGATTTGGACATGAACATATACCCAAGGCACTTTGGGGATCCCATTGCTCCTTGCACTGAAATGATTCCTGTTCCCATGTTGCCTCCTGAAGCTTCACCATTTCCAGAGGGTGGTCTCTTAATGGAAGAAGAGAAGTCTCTGGCCTTGCAGCTTGCAGCTTCTGCCATGTCTGAGCTAGTGAAGATGTGTCAGTTAAACGAGCCACTTTGGGTCCGAAGCAGTGAGAGTGAGAGGGAAGTGCTTAATTTTGATGAGCATGCAAGGCTGTTTCCATGGCCTTTGAATCTCAAAAATCGAAGTGAACTAAGGACTGAAGCTAGCCGTGACACTTCTGTGGTTATAATGAATAGCGTCACTCTTGTTGATGCTTTTCTTGATGCTGTAAGTGATTGTTGAATTGTTCATCGTCCTTTTCTTCCCCTCTATGTCCAATTTTTCTAATGACTTTTGCTCTTTTACATTGTTAATTTTTAGCATAAATGGATGGAATTGTTTCCTACAATCGTTTCTAGAGCAAAAACTGTCCAAATTATATCTTCTGGTGCTTCTGGTCATGCGAGTGGATCTCTTCAGCTGGTAGGAGTCAAATTGCTGCGTAAATATTGAATTGATAGTATTCCATAAATTAATTTGCTTCGCTATTGATATATTGCTTTTTTCTTTTTCTTTTTTTTTTAAGATGTATGCAGAATTCCAAGTTCTTTCTCCTTTGGTGTCCACTCGTGAGACTCATTTTCTTCGGTATTGTCAACAAAATGCTGAGCAGGGAACCTGGGTCATTGTTGATTTTCCTATTGATAGCTTTCACGAAAATTTTCACCCTTCTTATCCCAGATACTGCAGAAGGTGTTCTGGCTGTGTGATTCAAGACATGCCAAATGGGTATTCAAGGGTAAGTCCAGTTTCTAAGATATCATTATTTGTTAGAATTTTTACAGAATTGGAGCTTTTCCTTAATATTTCAATCCCAACATTTTATGGAGTATGTGTTTACTTTAATAAATTTTTTTGTACTTTGTGATTTTCATGCATGCATTAGGGAGCCTTTTTTATGCAAAAGTTGTACATGACCTTAGATGTTCTGGATTATATATGCAGGTAACATGGGTTGAGCATGCAAAAGTAGAAGAGAAACCTGTCCATCAGATATTCTGTAACTATGTCTACAGTGGAATGGCATTTGGAGCGCAGCGCTGGTTAGGAGTTTTGCAGAGACAATGTGAGAGGGTTGCGAGCCTCATGGCCAGAAACATATCGGATCTTGGAGGTTTGTCAAAATCTTATCTACCTTTCTCAATATTGTTAAGTGCATTAACTTCTATCAAGCCACATTTACTCATATTAATTAACAAATGAACTCAAAGAAAGATGGAATTTTTTTTCATTTAAAACAAATATAGTGTTAATTTCTTGTGTATTGCAGTGATACCTTCACCAGAAGCGCGAAAGAACTTGATGAAACTAGCCCAAAGAATGATAAAAACGTTTAGCCTTAACATGAGTACCTCCGGTGGTCAATCATGGACAGCCATATCAGATAACCCTGAAGACACTGTTAGAATCACAACTAGGAAAATCACAGAGCCTGGCCAACCTAATGGGGTTATTCTCAGTGCCGTTTCAACCACTTGGCTACCCTATTCTCATACCAGGGTCTTTGATCTCCTCAGGGACGAACGCCACAGATCTCAGGTACTACAAACAAGTTTCAATCCTCAACTCCAACCTATTGCAACAGTTATAACTAAACAATAATCACAATTTTTTTATTTTTTATTTTTTTATGCAGATGGATGCTCTTTCCAATGGGAACTCATTAAATGAAGTGGCTCATATTGCAAATGGTTCACATCCAGGAAACTGCATTTCCCTTCTTCGTATAAATGTAAGATCATTTGACAAATTGAACAAATTTTGATTTGATATTGAAGGATCGAATTTGAATGCAAGTGAAACCTTTTTTTTTTTAAACTTTTATGTTTTCTTACACATGCAGGTAGCTAGCAACTCATCCCAGAATGTAGAGCTAATGCTGCAAGAGAGTTGCACCGATCAATCTGGAAGCTTAGTAGTTTACGCCACCATTGATGTGGATTCCATTCAGCTAGCCATGAGTGGCGAGGATCCTTCTTGCATTTCCCTTCTTCCTCAAGGGTTCATGATAGTGCCAATGGTTTCAACCAATGGCAATTCATCTGAAGGTGTCACAGAACCACAAGCTACTACTACTACTAGTACTGTTAATTCAGGTTGCCTTCTCATCATGGGGTTGCAAGTTCTTGCAAGCACAATCCCTTCTGCAAAGCTCAACCTTTCAAGCGTGACAGCAATCAATAACCATCTCTGCAACACGCTGCACCAAATTGAAGCCACTCTTTGTAGCAGCACTAACAGCAGCTTTGTTGGGTCTTGCACTGAACCCACCACTAGTACACCACCCAAGCAGTGAATAGAGCTGATTCTAATCTCAAGTCACAAAAATGTTTACTTCCTACCCGTGTTTCAATGTTTCAAATAAAGATGGATTTGTGTAGGAATTAGGTAGGGAAGTGTGTTAGGAAATTAAGTTGTGTAACCATTAATATTGGAGTGAGGGTGTGGTTAAAATTGTGAGATACAATATGGAATGGTAATTTTATGTGTGTGAGAGAGGGTAGAGGGACTGAGGGAGTCAAGAGCGCACCAGATAGTACCCTTGGCTTTCTGGGAGGACCATTTCGTGATGATGGCGCCTCACTAGTTAGTAAGGGTTGTGGTTCGGGTATTGACTCCTGCTTCTATGTCAGCCTCTACTGTTCATTTCAATGCGTTTTATTCAAACTTAAATTCACTTTTTTATGTTTTGTCTCGATTCCCTCTTCTCTATTTAAATCATATTCCTATTCAACTCCTAGTTTTGAATAATATTCTAATCAATTCTTATTCCCTCCTTCTCATTGTTATGAATGATCACTAAGCAAGATTAATTTCAAACTATCTGAAGTAAAAAAGAAGAATGAAAATAGTGGATTTGGATCTCACGTGAAAAAGTGATCTTTTTAAACGAGTGATTGTGATCAAATAACTTGATCACATGATCACCTTTTTCACATTAGAGGATCCAAATCCTAAAATAGTATAGGCAATATACAAACCTTGAGGGCAACTATGCGAGACAGTGTAGCGTTGAGTACTTCGGAATGATAAAAAAAAAAATCATAAATTCGGGATCCCACGAGAACTGAGTCATTCAAAAACCTGAATTAAGGGATTTTCTCCCTGAGGGTTGGGACGTAATAAAAATTCACCTTGTCACATTTGGTGATGGGAATTAGGAAAGGTAAAAACTCCAGCATTCATGGGATATTTGGCGGGCTGTTTGACCCTTTTAAGGTCAAAGCACTCATTAATTATTATAAGGCAAAAATACTTTTTCTGATACAAAATTATCAGTATACAATGTCGAATCTTAATAATTTTTTTTTTTTAAAAAAAATTGGTGGGTCTTGTTTTTTATCTTTGAGACAGACACTGTTTTTTTGCTGCTGTTGTAGGAAAGTAATGGCGGATGTTTGGCATGGAGAATATGATAGAAATCTTGAGAAAAGTAATGCCCTTATAGGGTGTTTGGTCTGAAGAATGTAATAGAAATCTTGAGAAAGTGGGATGTGGAATTTTTGTTAACAGTGGGATGTGGAATTTTTGTTAACCATGTTTGGTACGGAGGATGTGATAAGAGTGCAGGTATAATATTATGCCCATGAATCTCTTTTTTAACATGACATTGGAAAAAAAAAAATCTCATTTCAAAGGTGGTATTTATTTTTACCCATAATCCATGAAAAGTGTTTTACATTTTTTTGTCAAAATTGGCCTATGATAAGACATGAAGATGTCTTAGAAATTTGTGGCAAGAAACACGAAATGTTCATTTTGCTTCTAAATCACATTTATATTTTATCACCAACCAAATACAACATTAGTAAAATTAACTCAACTTTTTCGATATAATTTTAACATACCAAACATTTTTTCATAACTTACATAGGCAAAAATGTTTACTACCATATTCTTAGAAATCTTTTTTTCTCAGTAAAAAAAAATATCTCCTATACAAACACCCCTTATTGGGATAATTGATTGGAGAAAATTGGGTCTCAAAGTCAAGGATTACCCACTTTGCGAGTTCCACATTTTTATTTTTTTTTGCATTTAATATATTACATATCATTTTTTTTCTTTAATTTTGAGATGAATAATTTTTTGATGATTTGTAATAAATTTTTAATAAATAAAACCAGAAAATTATTGAAAAAATATATATCATTAATCTTATAAGTGTTTATATAAATTAATCATGAAGTAAATGAATTTGATATGTTATGTGAATTTTTTTAATTTTGTAAAAATAAATAAATTGCTAAATAAAGTTTTATATGTGATTTTAAAATTTATTTATGCTTAATCTCTGTAACTAAAATTTTATTGTAAATTCTTCAATATTAATGGGTATGTTTACTAAAATACCCTTGATGGTATGTATGTATTCAAAAGTTTGTCCTTTAATTTTAGTAATTTCATTCTTGATTAATGTTTTATATTAATTAAAACAGAAAAATATTTCTGCAGTTACTGCAGATAAGTTATCTGTATTTATTCTCAAAATGACGTCGTTTTGAGATTGAAAGACTAAAAAATTATAATTATAAAGACTATAATAACTATGAAATAAATTAAAATTACAAAACAACATAATTCTCGTCCAAAACAATATCGTATTAGGCTTACTGCAGATAAGTTATCTGAAGTGACTGCAGAAAAAAAAAGTGAACCCTAATTAAAAAAAAAAGAAAAGTAACGTAACTTAATAAGTAATAACCCGAGCCAGTGGCCCACCCACGATTCTACTGGTTGTCCCTTCTCGCATCGCCCGATCGTCTCATTTGTAAGACTATCCGTATGTATCGGCCCATCCAATTAGCCTATGTTGTCCAAGGCTAAAAAAAGCCTACAATGTAAAAATTCTAGGCTAAAAAGCCCACAATGCTAAAAATCCTGCAATGTCTTGCGGGCCAATCCATGACCCATACCATTAAATTTAAAAGAAAATTAGGCCACCAATAAATGAACCACTTTTTTTTTTTGGTAAACTAAAAGCCTGTTTGGATGAGCATTTGAAAAAAAAAAAATTATACCTTAGTTATTTTTGAAGGATTTTATTTTAAAGTTAAAGTTATTTTATATTTGGATGTACGTAATATATGAAAAATACTTTTAATGAAATATATTATTTGGATGTTAAAATTAAAAAGCATTTTTCATCTATTAAATTACTAAAAAGGACATGTGAAAACAAATCATGGAAGCAAATTTGGTTGTGGAGGAGGTGGTGGTGATGGCAGGGCAGTGGGGGTGATGGTGGTGATGGTAGTGACAATAATAGAGGAGGTGGTAGTGATAGTGACGACGGAGATGAAATTGGTTTTGGTTTGGGTTTGGGTTAAGGTTATGGTGGTGGTGGAGCGGGATTAGGGCAATTTTGAATTTTGAGAAAATTATTTGACTTTTGACTTCTATTTCTTTTAAAAGTTAGAAATTTTAGTTTTGAAAAAAAACGAACTTTTGACTTTTTCTTTTTTTAAAAACAAATATTCGAACATTAGTTTGTAACAAGAAAGGTTTTTTATGAGAAAATTTAAAAAAATATATCATCCAACAGGCTCTAAATAACCAACCTTAACCCATCCATATATCTGAAATGCCTTTTGTACAACTATAAATAATCACTTCATATAGATAAAAGAATCATATAATATGCTGAACCTTTTACTTTATTATCTCGTTCAAAGCCAATGGTGGAGTCAGAGAGAATTACGAGACGATTGTCCCTTTTACTTTTCAAAATCAACTATTATAATACTTATATAATGTTTGAGTAGCTAAACTTGACACCATCCATTCTGTTATTACAAAAGTTATTTGTTATATTTTCCCCTAATTTTTCAAAAAGTGATGTTATTTGAATTAGTTTAAAAGATATAAAAGTATGAAATATATTGTAAAGATATAGAAAAAGTAAACTTGTAGAAATTAAATTTAAATATAATAAAATTAGTTTTATTTTCTAATTAATCTCAAATATATTTAATATCTACCTAAATATCAAACATGTTAAAAATGAAATACCTAAGTGTAGATCTCCCATGAAACCTGATCACATGAGTATTAATATTTTAGAGCATCTACTCTCTTAAAATCATAGTCATAGTATAAAGTATAAACTAGCCATCGGGTGTTATTATATACAATTTAAGAACCAATGAATTATAAGTTGTGAGAATTGTTCTGGTCCGGTCGAATAGAGCGATCCAGTCATAACCTAAACTGTCGAGAGGGTCCACTATTATCCAGCACGTGACTCTTTTATACATGTGTCTCATCACATTTTCATTGCATGTATGTTACACGTGATAGGTCATGCCGCCTCACATCTACTGGGGTCCACAGGGTTGAAAAACGGTTATGGCATCACACTTTGCGTTATAGGAGGGAATCTTTAGCCTTTCATACAAAGAGGTCATATCTTATCTACTGTTCATCGTCTCCACTCTGTAATACTGTTACTCTGTTGAATTCACCTCACAGTCGTAACTGTAACCGATACATACTTCACCCTTAGCACCCTCAGCTCACATGAGGCTAATCCGAGAAACCTAAAAGCTTTGATGCACATCAGTGCCTCTTCCCTCTTCTTTAAATCAACATATTTTAACCATTTCGAAAACATTTCTATACTTCATACTCTAATTTAGTTCAATAACTGTGCAAGACTGTTTTAGAAGAAGCACTAAAAGTGGGCCATTCATGATTCATGTATGCTTGTAGAAGTTTAAATTTAATGGAGCGACTAATGACAATACATGTAACAACGGAACAGAAGTATCTGGGAGCTAGGGTTGAGCTTTTTGTTCTATGTTCAATTTCTTACACAACTATATGAACTGATGACACCCCTTGAGTAACAAAACTTTTGCTATGTTATGTAGTCCAGAGGGAAAAAAAGAAAGAAGATATAACCTATTGCACATTTGGTCAACCCAAGTCCTATAACCCAGCTCATAGTAATGACTGGGCCTGCGATCTCCAAATCATAGATCCAACCTTACAAGGATGCTTCCCAAGCAATATAAGGATTATCTGATGAAGTAAAGCTAGGAACCTTATCCATTAGTTGAATTAGAATTATTAGTATAGTTAGGAGTCTATCTATCTATTTGTTCTATATATTTATTTTAAATTAGAATTGTTAGGCTTATCTTTAGTTACTTTTTATCTTTATCAGTACGTAGAGATATGTAGCATTGGGTGTTTCCAAATCAATAAAAGTTTAATCCAATTCTCTCCGTATCTTTCTCTTCTTTCCCCTGCTCTCCCTCCTCAACGTCGTACATAACCAATTGGAATAATGGACCTGACAATGACAGATAAGTAACAGAAAACAAGCAACTCTTCAGGCATAGAAAACTATATATAAAATGCTACAATAGTTTTTTTAATTTTAAATTTGGTGTTTAAGACAGAGGCTTTGGCCCTGCAGGCACACACACATATGGTTTTTTTCTGCCCGAATTTGGATCTTTTTATTGGGCTACGTGTTGTGTATGCCTGTCATCGTGGGTCCTTCCCAAACAATAGGCCCATCCTCCTTCCAACATCATACTTTTATATCATACATTTGTTTCCTATATCCTTTTTCTTTCAGGATCTTCTTTACTCCTTTCGTGCCATCAAGTTGATTTTCGTGCTTCTTGCACCGAACATTGA